AGTAATACTACCATTGCATAGGTTTTTATGAACATAAACCCAAAGTTTACCATTTTTAACAGGTTTTTGAAAAACAAACAAAAAAATTTGGTATCCCAATTTTATTTTCCCGTGACTGGTTTCAAAACATTTTATTAAACAATCCATTATTATAACCAATACGTACGAACTAGACGGATGTACAGCGATAACTGACAAAGGTAAATTGGTCTGTCAGCGATAAAAGATTATTATTTATCAAGGGAAATATTTTACTACAGTTTACTAAAAATAGTTAGTATTATAATGCTAGTATAGTAGTATAGATGAGTATACTCAAAAGTTTMTAATCCATCAAGATTCGTACCTTGTTGTGATATCTTTTTTGTCTAAAAATATTATTAGGTATAACATTATAATTTATAATAACGAATAATACTAGTATAAATTTGTTACTTATTATAATAATAATAATAATAATATAAAAAACTTTGGGACATTTTTTTACATTTTACATAATAGTTATAGTACTATGTAATATAAATTATTTTCATTTTGAACTTAACATCAGGCGTAATCAGGTTTTAAATTAGACAAGGCAGAAATGTATCTTTAAGACACCCGTCGATAATTTAAATTCCAAAATAGTTCAAATATAGTTTCATTTTTTAATAATAATTTGAATTTATTTAATAAATAACGCATTTCTTGAAAAGGCATTTAAATCGAGCCCTAATCATTACAAAATGCTGTCTGAGATAGAATAATTATACCTACTCGTATACCTATTCAAAAATATTGACCAGGGACCGATTGTCCGCATRCGGCATTTTWATGCGGGGACAAATTGTCCGGGGACCAATTGAACGTTTACCTTTTAAAATAAATCAAATGAGTCGAAATCAAGATTTTAGAAATTTCTAAGCATCTACCAAAACATTTTGGATTAATTAGATTCTATTGTCTATATTACTGCAATAAATATAAAATATTGGACGTAATTAAGTTGTTCCACTCTGATGCTATAATGTCTAGTCACGACATTTAAAACCGGTATTACACAATATACTTCAATTTAAAACTTATACTGCATAACAAGTTCAAAATAATAAATCGTTTATTCTTAGTGTCTTGATGTAACAATTCTAAATTCCAATAGTGCACTATTTATCACTATATTTATGTGCATGCAAATAACTACAACACACTTCAATTCGTATGTATATATTATACTGTTGTGAAACGTTTGATTTATACTTGTAAATAATATTATTATGATTGTGGTTGATATGCATAGGCTCGAATAAAGTTTAAGATTTGGGGCAGCTAAAGCTTAATTATAATAATATGAGCTTTAAGCAAAATTTATGAAATGCCTATRACAATCAATTAACAAAGGAACTCTTATAGTATTATCAGTTATGTATAACGCACGAACATGCCCGAGTTCGTGTACAATTTGCACTTATTAAGATATTTGTTACAGGTACCATAGGTTACATAATACACAAACATTGATTATAAATACCAGGTAGTATTATTTCACTTCCAATTCACTAGTGGAAATATCACGTGGTTGAATTGGYTGAACGAAAAATTACCATGTTGCACGTGGACCAGAGAGAAAAAGAATATTGTGCAGGTGTTTAAATAAATTATGATAAAAATCTTTACATTTGTTGTCTGAAATATTATTGTGGAATACATAATTGTATCAAGGGATTCATCACCAGGCTATGCCAATAAAAAAATTACCAAAAGGTATAAGAAAATATTAGGTAAGTGAGATTTGCTTTATAGATGTGTTGTATCGAAATATATCGATTATTAGGATAGTAACAGATTATGAAAACGAGCGAGTTGTCGACTCGATGTCGCCGATGGCATTATGTTATTGATTTATTGTAATAAT